TCAAAGGTATTGCGCCATAACATATTGTTTATGGTATAAATGCTGGGTTACACAATATAAATGATAGAAAACGAATCAATTAAGAACATGAAATAGCAAAACAAAAAGCAATCACACAATACAAGAGTTATATGATTTGATAAATTATATCTATTCTATGACTATATTAGGAGTTCTTATTAAAGGTTTTTTTTTTTTTTTTTGAAATTGAAGGCTGCAAATGCAAAAAGTATTATTGTTATTTATAGTATGGATAACAAGATTTATTAAAACCCTAACAAATCTATATATCTGAATTAAACAAAACTGTCGTACTTGAATCGATACAGTACATTAAACCATATGCTATATAGATATCAATCTCAACAACTTACTGATGTTTGAGCCTAATGTGAATCCACAAAAATTGATTTTTAAAAGCAAATTTAGAAGCTCAACCATTAAGATTTCGGATTTCTATTTGGAAGTCTCATGGTCCAAACCTGGAAGAACTAAGACGAAATTTAAAAATTGGAGAATGGCTAGAAATTTTATTGATTTTTGTAACTATCATGTCCATGTTGATTTCTTTTACCTCAGAAACGTTACGATATCAACGAGAGAGATTGCACTGAGACGGACCACACTCAAAGCCAAGGTATCAACCATCAAACCATCCCACGCCATGCATGCCCACAGTGAATGTGACCTAACAAGTCCCATTGACCTTTCGTGTGCTCTACCTAAGCCTTTCTTTCTCTTTTATTCCAAGTGAACACGGAAAAGTGAAATATGTTAGTGGCCAGTGCCCTTGTGGTCCAAAGGGTCAAGGGTTTTAGAAACCAGTTCTCTCTCTCTCTCTCTCTCTCTCTCTCTCTCTCTCTCTCTCTCTCTCTCTCTCATATATATATATATATATATATATATATATATTGAAAGGAGAGTTAATATAACACAAGCAGGATTAATCTAATCAAAGGTTGTGTACTCAATTAGCTTTCCTAGTAAGTAAAATTTGAGTCCTGATAATTTTAATTTTTTTAATGATTATGTAATGGGGATGACTATTATCATTGTATAACTCAATAGATCCATTGAATTTCTGATGAATAAAAAAAAAGTTAATAAATTTTAAGGGATTACATAGCACACATTTAGAAACGAAAAATTAATGATGTAAATATTTTATAAAACAATAAAAAAACAATCGAGACGAACATTTGATATCAGATAAATTTTTTACGTCAACGAGAAAGCATGTTTAGCCAACCAATTTATACAGCGAATAGCCTCTTGATAAATATGAGTGATTCTAATAAACTAATTTTATTATTGTATTTTTATATTTAGTAGTTGTTTTTGTGCGATCGGTAAAATATCTTCTTTTATTGTTATTGTTTTCTTGAACTAACTTTTACTTACCATAACTAATTTATTTCTTAATTGGATCTCAAGTATTTTCATGCACGAATGCATTCATAAGGAATCAAGAATATTTATAATTCAAAATAACGTGAGGAATAAACCCATTTTCCATAGCTAATCCCTAAAGGATTTGGTCGATTGCTCTTCCCTTGGGTCGTGTGGCTCATGTTAGTGTTCTTTCTGAGATCATTTTGCGTTGAATGGCTGTAGTTAGTGCACTATGGATGGAGATGAAGGTATTTGAATGGGCAAACCCCCTTCACATCAAGAACAAATGCACTCAAATCGTGTCCTCGTACATGACAAGTTCCACATTTGAAGTAAAGATTCAAGGACCACCAACTTGGTTACATTTTTCCTTTTACAAGAACGATATGGTTACAATCTCAAAGTGCTGACTGCTGCTTTTAAGGAACAAAGCTGGTCCTTACTGAAACTGACCTAACAGAACTTTGTGGATGGATTAGAGATTGTATGCAGTACATATAAAAATGCAACAAATCTTTCCTTTATGCAATAAGTAATGAGGTTACCCAATATGGTTGGCTTAAATGAAAAAAAACTCTAGTTACATAAGTAAATAGTTTTAGCTTCGAATTTTTATGTATGTAGAAAACTCTTTAAATAGTTGTGTTTTTTGAATACCGTAAGGATTAATATAGTCTTTTGAGTCTGAAATGCCCCCAAAAAAAAAAAAAAGATTGGCGTGAAATGGTTAGGTCCTGATGAGGAGTACACAATTTTGGATAAGATCAAGGATAATGGCAGTAAATGCTATTTCTTTTTCATCCCCCAACCTTTTGAATTCTTTTAATTAATGGGATCTCGTTTTTTTTTTCTCTCTCTCTTAAAATAATCACATAACCCAATTCTTACATTTGCAGATAAATAAATTTAGAATTATGTTTTAATTAAGGTGTATATGTATATACACACACACCTAAGCTCTATTACACCAAATTAGTAGCATCAAAGCCCATGCCCAGATTTTACTTCATATTTTCCTAGTAACACATGACCTATATTGGAATTGAATCCTAGATTCAGATATTGAGAGATAAAAAACAGAATTTACTAGTTGGCTTGCACCATACTACAGGCCAAATAAAATATGTTTATTTTAATTCAATAATTTCTATTATGCTTGTTAGTCAATTAAAATATATAAAATTACGTTACGGGTTGAATAAAATATATTTATTTTAGTTTAATAGCTTGCACTATGTTATTAGTCAATTAAAATATATAAAACTAAGTTGCGGGCCAAATAAAATGTACTTATTTTAGTTTAATAGCTTGCATTATACTTGTTGGTCAATTAAAATATATAAGATTAAAGGTAAAAGAAAAAAATCTCATCTAATTTTATAATTTTTAAACTAAATTTTGTATTTAATATATTCTTCTTTATTTTTTTTGTAAATTTTGTAGTTAAATAAACACTATTTGTTTTTCATTGTGCATTTATTCTTAAATAAAACTTGTAATAATCTAAAAAAGAAAATTTTAAAAAAAATTTAAAAAACATCTTAATATTTTTTTCATAATATTACATAGAATAAATAAAGAAATAATTAATATAAAAATTAAGAAATGAATCTTTTTTATTTTTGTTTAAATCGATGAAAAGATTATTTTTTTGAAAACATATACATTTGATTTATATATATTTATATACAAAATAATCGATAACATTAATATAAAAAACAATATTTGAATTATTAGGTGGTTATTCTAAAATATCATTTTAATTATTTTATTGGAAAGAAATTAATGTTGGGATATTTTAAAAAATTAATAGCAAATGGTTGGTGTTATGTGTATAGATGCATAATTAATTTTTAATAAAACCAATGATCCTATATACATACATACATACATACATACATACATACATACATACATACATATATGTGTGTAGTATAAATCAAAAAATATTTTTAAAAAAACTTAAATTGTAAAGAATATATTGAAGTTAATAAACTACAATAAAAAAAAACTATAAAATTGATTTCTATAAATTTTGATTATATAACAAATAAGCAAAAAAATACATAATTTTTTTAATTGATCCTTTATTTTTATAAAAAAATGTTTGAAAATCCATATATATAGAAAGATAAATCATATTTATTATCAAATAAAATTATATAAAAAGAATAAAAAATTAATTTGATGAGAATTTCTATAAGAAACGAGTAAATTGAAAGAATCAATTTTAAACAATAAGAGTATTATAATCCGATATATATATTCATTTTAAAATTTTAAAATATATCGTATATATTTTATAATCGCTAGCCTTTTTTAAAAAAAATTTAAAAAGAACAATTGGCTTTTCATAATTTTCGCATCCAATTCAACAATAAAAAGAAAATTAAAATAGATTGTTGGAAAAAAAAAAAGCAAAAGCAACAAAATTATCTTTAGGAACACAAGGGACCAAAATGAAACATCATGTAAAATTCATATAAAAACATGCAAAAAAAACCCAAAAATCAAGAAAATACTATTGCATGGTAAAAATAAATAGTGCGTACGATTTCCAGTGAATAATGCCAATAAGCTTGGATGAATAGTGTTGTGTCAGTAGTGAACAACTTCTTCTTTTCTTCTTCTTTCTTCTTTTTTTTTTTTTCTTTCCTCATGAAAAGTAGGTCCAATATGGTACCTAATATTGGGCTATATCTTTCAAGTATCAGCTTTTTATAATGAGCCTAGGTATCTACAGAATTGGAGTGTTGGCCATTATCTTAATAAAAGAAAAATAGAATACGATCAATCAAATTCATAGGTATGAATTTGGAGTAAGTTATAATTAATCCATCTATTATTTGGAAACAAATTAATTAATTTTTGTTTATTAAAAAACTAACTATTTAATCGTTTTTAATCAATATGACTATATTTAATTTAATGTTATATTATTTTTTATTTTATTTCACAAAATATTATATTTTCTCGTCAATTCTTTTATATATATTTTTTACTTATTTTTTAAAATAAAATGAAAAAGAGAGAAAAGACTAAGCTACAAAAAAGCTAAGAATACAATGAATAAATAACTAGTTTTTTAAAACAAAAAAAATTAATTAATTCATTTCTCCAAACTAAAAAGAGTAATTTATAACTCACCCTGTGAACTTGACGTAAGAGAAGAGGAAAAAAATATATATATATATATAGAACCCAAAGGTCATAAAATTTTTGAAAGATTAATTAAGGTTAATACCATCATCTATCTTAATTTATATAATTAATAAGTCAATTTTTTAATCATTTTCTAAAATTTAAAATGTCTCTTATATGTTCTTATTATTTTAGTTGATTTTCAATCTATCATCCTAATCAATTTTTTTGGTCAAACTATTCAAAACAATATCAGTTATGAAGATTTTGAAAGATTAAAGCAAAAGAAGGGATTGGATTAATTGAGATGAAAATTAAAATACATTACATATGACATCAAGTATTGTGCTTGAATATCTTATTATCATACCATAGCATATAAAACATGGCAAAATTGCTTACATCCTTAACATTAGTTAAACTAATTAAGGATCCACAAAAAGTACAATATTAACAAGACTTATCAGTTACATAACAGTGCAAGCATTAGGGTTTTCATCACTGAAAATCTCAGGAGCATAAGCATACTGATCAGAGTAGTCCTTTGATGGCCAATATTCACTTCTCTTGATATCAAGTTTCTTATCATCCTCTCCCTTCTCTTCTTCTCCATCTTTCTTTTGTCCTTCCTTGTCTTCCTTTTTCTCTTCCTCTTTCTTCTCTTCTTCCTTCTTTTCTTCATCTTTCACTATGGAAGCTTGTTTTCTAGTCTTCTTGTGCACATCATCCACCAGCTTTGATGGATCAACCACCCCTTTTACTATTACTTGATCATTGGCTAGGTCTGTTTCTACTGACTCTACACCTGCATTCATTGCATTAACTCCAAACTAATTACTCAAAGTTTCTCCAAGTTAATTTACAAAAAATCTAACTTTGATTTAAGGATCAATACATCAATCTGTCTTTTTATAATAAAGTAATTTTTGGATACGTTTTTATATCCTTAATTGAATCAATTTAATCTTTACATATACATTAAATTTCAGATATATTATTTTGTCAAGATTTCAAACCAAACGATGTGATTTGTAAATTATTAATTTTTATTCTTAAAATATCTTTACAAACTAGTCAAATAGAAGGATTTTTATGTATAAATTATGTGATTAATTTCGATTGTTTAATTTGAAAGAAATCTTAATTAATTACAAAATGATAGATTAGACACTTGATTTGTATTTAATGATAAAATTAGTTTAATTATAAATATAAAAAAAAATTAAAGAATTATCCTATTATATAAAAATACCTTGGATCTTTCGAATTCCCTTTCGTAGCTTTTGAGCACATGCTTCGCAATGCATTCTGACGTTCAAGACTACTGTTACAACAGGAGGAGGCTGCAGCCACCATATTACAATGAGAAATATTGGTCAGATAGCATCATGAGATCATATTGCTCATCTAAAAGAAAGAAACAAATCTACAAGGAAAAACAAGATTAGTATGGAGGTGTTTTCGAATCAACTTTTACGTTAATTGAAATTAAATTCTTGTTTTCATGTTTTTTTTTCTTTTGAAATTGATTTTTTTTTCCTTACATTTTGGTTGGAACCATAGAGAACTTGGAACCTCTAAAAACTAACAATATAAAACATTTGAATCCAAAATTTTAAACAATTTATGCCACATCCATCAAAGTCATCTCAAACCATTCTCTGAAAAAAAGAAAATTAGAATTATTCAAAAACTTTACAAGCCCATGATCTAACTTTATTTTGTATTGATTTTGATTTGTCTTTATTTTCTGGAGGGGATGAATGCAATAGTGGGCATAAGGAGCCAAGAGGCTCCATACCCAACAAGAGTGAGACAGAAACCACCAAATTCCATCAAGACCATCCTCGAGACACCTGCAGCTTATGCCGACCAAACGGTAGATTCTATTCCGTAGCCTAGGATTTATGATCCTTTCCAGCTTTCAAATTTTTCTTGTTTGAAAAAAATCCCATGTTTTTTGAACTGCAAAAAGAAACCATTGTATTATCCAATAGCTAGAGTAGTTTTTGTTAACGTTATGATGGTTTTGTTCAAAAAGCTAAGGACAAAAGGCAATCATAAAGAAATGGGCACCTCTTGCTCTTTCAAATCCTTAAAACTAGCAAAGGAAAATTGTAATCAAGCAAGAAAACAAAATTTCTGAGCATATATATATAGGCCCATAACAATTAATTCGAGGAGTTGTGGGGTCAAAACCCTAACCGGTTCTCTCTCTTTCCTTGCAAAACGTGCCCAACATGGCTGGCCTGTTTTGTTACTTTCATCTCAGCATTGAAACAGCAGTCACAAGATTCACAGTAGGCAAGTGGGTAAAAACTAAAAAGTTTAGAAATGGACAAAATGACTTCTTATCTCTAGTTCTATAAAGCTAATGCCGAGCTTAGGTCAAAATAGGATTCTCAAATCACAATCCTAATGATTTGGTCAAAAGCAGAGATCAGTGCTAACTTAGTTGTTGTAAAAATGTGGTAAGCAAATGAGTGGTGATGATTATGTTCGAATTGTAGTAGAATCTTTGAAATTTTTTACCTCATCCTTTTTCTCTTCTTCCTTGGGTGGATCTTTGGTTTCTTCTTTGTTCTCTTCAGGTGGTTTTGGCAACGGTGAAATTAGCTCCACTTTCCTGCCACTTTTCTTCTGCAACCTCTCACATACCTTTAATGGATCTGCTGCTTTGCCTTTCACCACCACCTTACTTGCTTTGCTATCTGTAGTTACTTCCTCCACTCCTATCACCCAAAAATTTCAAAATTCTCCAGGAAATTATGTATGTGATTAATTATACTTAAAACCTTTTTTTTTCTCGTAAAAAGAAGAAGAAGAAGAAGATGATGATTAAGAAGAATTTCTAAATTTAGAGAGTACTTGAGCATTCAAATATGATTTAGTTAAAGGTGGTAAAGGAAAAAACACCTTCAAATCCTGTCAAAGCTCTTGCAACTTTCCTAGCACAAGCTTCACAATGCATATCAACCTTGAGCACAATCTCTGGGTGCTCTTCTTCTTTCTTTTCTTCCTTTTTCTCTTCTTCCTTGCCCTCTTCTTTCTTTTCTTCCTCCTTCTTCTCCTATGAAAGAAACTTATCAGCATCTCTTGCACATGTTCTATACCAAATATGTAAATAATAAAAAAACCTTTGCACACACATGAAGAATAAGAAAGAAAAAAGAAATTACTTCACCCATTTCTGAGATGATTCTCAAGTACTCTCTGCTTCAGAAGCTATGGACAAATGCAGTCAGTTATGCACACAAAGACTCAGTATATTCAGCTGCAATGAGCAATCTTTCTAGCTTTTTAATTTGCTCTCTCTCTCTCTCTCTCTCTCTCTCTCTCTCTCTCTCTCTCTCTCTCTGTGTCTTCCTATGCGGTGGAGGAGGCACATTTATGTAAGGTCGGGGATTCTGCAAATCTGATGTGGATTTGTTGACGTAGTGTCCTTTAGCTGACTCAGCATCCCATAAATTGCCCTTCAGTTCCTTCAAAATGACCTTTCATTGTGGTAACATAGTACTATTCACAATAAATGAAGAACATTGGAGGACAAATTGGTCATGAACTCTCTTGAATGTACAATTGATATTCCAATGATGGGGGGACATGTATACGTCATGTGGTTTATTTGATCTTAATATGATCAAAAAACAAGTCGGTGTGTTTTGAAATTCTTTTTTAATCATATTTCAATAATAACTAATAGTACTTGCTCTAAACATCAAAAATAAATATAATGAAAATAAAAAAATAAAAAAATGAGTTTAAATATATGTATTTTTATCAATGAATTCAAATGATATATATATATATATGATTTTTATGATATGCTATATTCAAAATTTTAGATTAATTTCTAACTGTTCGATTAGGTAAAGAGTTTTCTGTATATATAAAAATTTAAAATTAAGATTATTTATTTAAACGAATAGAGTTCTTTTCGTTCAAAACAACATGCTTGATATATATATATATATATATATATATGAAATAATCATGGATTGCGGTTTTAAAATTATTACTATTTTATTTTTATTTTTTGGAACGAGAAGAGAGATTAAAGTGAAGTGATGCAAAAAAGGAGTATTGTTTCATGAAAGCGGCCAATGATAATTATATACTATATGGTAGTAAATTTAGCATGAAATGTTGGGCTTTTTCCATCTCGATCATGAGCTTTATTTGATGCTTTTGTTAGGACGATAAAAGTCCAAAAAGATATCGATAAGGTTAATTTTCTTTTGGATCCCCAAGAAAACTTTTCATTGTATTAGATTAATAAAGTTTCACATCATGATTCTTTACTTTCTGTTAATATATAATTTATGTGAAGGCAGGAGATGTTGCGACAAAATCTAAAAGCATGGTGTTTTATCTTTGATTGATCAGGCAATTCAAGTCCTATTTCTTTCTGGTGGTAAAATATATATAGGTTAAACTCGTTATTTTTACACCCCGAATTACCGATTCTTCAAGAGATTCCTATTCTTTTTATTATCGATTCAGTTAAATGATTTTTTTTGTATTTTCGATTTTAGTTAATTGAATGTAATTTTTTTAAATTAAAAATTTATCTTAGTCAATTGAGTAACCTTTTTACAATAAGTCGTCATCATCAACTTTTTCTTCATTTCTTTTTATATCACCACTCACTTTCACTATCACGACTCTTCTCATTGAATATTTTTTTTTTTAGATTTTACAAATTATTCTCAATTAGTTGAAACAAAAAAAAAAAAAAAAAAAAAAAAATATATATATATATATATATATATATATATATATATATATATATACCGAGACTTAATTAATCAAAATAATAACAAAAAAGACATTTTTAATGAATTAACAAAAACAATACATATTGCAAATAATGATTTTAACCTAAAATATACTATTAGAGAATTATTATTTGCAGAGACTAAAAGCTGTAATACAAAATTAGTATGAAGTAACGAAGTTTTGACTCACACCTCCATTTAAAAGATTATTTAGTTATTAATAAATTATTAATTCATTTTAAGTAAAATTTTTATTAATATGTAGATTTTAAATTTTAAAATTATATTTATTAAAAAAGATTAAACTTTATCGATCTCGTTTTGAACATGATTAATCATATCGTAAAAATGATATAAGAATATTTTGGTAAAAAAATAAAATATAGTTAGTATATAAACAAACCAAGTACATAGAAGCAAACTATTTTTTTTAATTACAATAAGATCCAAAAATCCAGTGATAAAGGAAATCAGACACAAACAATGTACAAAGCAAAAATAAGAAAGAAGAAATATTGAAAAATAAAACTAAATAAAAGGCCCCTGTTGCATGGAAACACGGCTGTCAAAGGATAAAATCATAAGAGAAATGGAGCCCACCATTCAGGATTCCAAGCCCCAAGCTATGAATGAACACGAAAACCCAATTTCAAGGTCGGTCTGGTAAGGCTATCAGTATCTTCAAAAGGCAAAGATGGAAATGGGGAATAGGGAAGATTGGGACCCATTCTGTAATTTTTCCAGCCATTCAATGACTGACACCTGTGGGGATAAGCATTATCATCTGCTGTAGTCCTACTCTCCAATCAAATTGAAAATGGACATGAAAAAATGAAAAAGTTGGGAAAAGTAGATTGAATTTCCTGTCTTTACACTAACAAGTTGAGAGCACAATCCAAAGAATCTCCAAAAGACAGAAATGTAAGTTCCTTGTATAGATTGGGTTGGAAGACGATTTATTACCTACGGGGCATGGGAGAAATGAGTGAAAAAAAGAAGGGGAGAGGGGATTGAGTTTCAAAACAAAACGATTGTTGTTTTGAAGACAATTTGATGCAAAGTTAGTGAATTTGAAGATTAGGACCTAATTGAGAAACATTTGATTTATATATATATATTTATTTAAAAAATAATCAATAACATTATTATAAAAAATTACATTTGAATTGTTTGGTTGTTCTTTTAAAATATTATTTTTAATATTTTATTTGAAAGAAATTAATTTTAAAATATTAAAAAAATAATAATTGTAAGTAATTGGTGTTATGTATGTAAATGTACAGTTAATTTTCAATAAAATCAATTATTTTAATTTTTTTATATATATATTATAACTATACTTAGTGGATCGAGTGTGCAACGTAAATAAAAAAAATACTTAAAAAAAAATTATAAAGAATATATTGAAGTTAATAGAATGTAATAAAAATAATTATAAAATTGATTTCGATAAATTTTGATTATATAAAGAATGAGCAAATAAAATACCTAAATTTTATTTTTTTAATTGATTATTTATTAAAAAACATATTCAAAAATCCATATATAGAGAAAAATAAATTATATTTATTAAAAAAATAAAATTAAATAAAAAAACAAAAAATTAATTTGATGAGAGTTTTCATAAGAAATGACAGATTGAAGAGGTCAATTTTAAATAATAAAAGTAATATAATTCGATATACATATTCATTCTAAAATCGAAATATATCGTATATATTTTATAATTATCAACTTAAATGAAAAACCAAAAAAAAGTAACAATTAATTTTTTATAATTTTTTTCACCTAATTCAATAATAATAAAAAAAACTAAAATAAGTTGCTTGAAAAAAAAAAAACAAAATAAAAAAAAAGGGCAAGCATGAGTGCTTGGTCATCTAGGGACCAAAAATATCTTTTAAAAATATCAAGGACTAAAATGAAATACAATGTCAAATTTGCATTTAAATAGTTAGAAAAAGAAAAAAAATTAACAAAAATACCACTGCATAGTAAAAATAAATAATAAAAATACTATGCACAATAAAAATGTTAAAAATATTAAGAACTAAAATGAAATATAATGTCAAATTTACATATAAATATTAAGAAAAAGCTAAAAAATAACAAAAATGCAATTGCATAGTAAAAATGAATAGTGCATATGAGTTTAAATGAATTGTGAATAGTGATCAAATTCAAATCTTTTAGTTTTTTTTTATATATATAATAATAATTTCAGAATTTCAATTTACAAAACTTAGATTCAAATGTCATTAACATAAAATAAACAGGATGCTTTAATCATGTGTCAAATCCCACTTGGATGAAAAGGTGAAGAAAATTATAAAATAATTGAGTACAGCATATAACGGAGAAGAAGCCAAGCAGAAGAAGGCAGACATTCTCCATGGATCAAAAGGTGATTCTGAAATTTGATCATAGAATCCTGAAAGCAAAAGCCATGACAATACCTCAAGACAACAAATAATTCCAATCTGTGGTCCTAAAACCAAACATGTATGATCGGTAAAGGACCTATATAGAAGAAATATCGCTGCTTTGCAAGTTGGAAGCTGACCATACTGAATCAGAATTAACTCCTCCATCTACCTTGTGCACGAACCCTAAAATTTTTACCATTTGCTTGATCTCCGTAAGTTCCAGTGTTGTCACCTTATGAATGGCATCTTCGTCCAAAGAAAGCAAACCCTATCATTTGCAATTTTAATTTTTTTGAAAAAAATCATTCATAATTTTTGAAACATTAACCGTTTTATTTGGCATATATATATTCTCAGACAAGCTTTTACATCAATCGAAATTAAATCCACCACCTTTTGGATTAAGCCAACCTTAAAACATGCTTTTAATCTTTGATCGACTACTAAACACCTTCTCGGTCTTTAGTTTTTATATCTAGTTGTTCGTTTTTGACATATATATATATATATATATATAAAAATACAAAAATGACTAATACTTTTTCGTTATCTCTTGAAACTCGAAGCTCTATTGTTTTAGAGCAAGGTTTGGCGTACAAGCTAATGACCCTTGCTCTTGTGGACATTTTATTGTCTTTATTAAAATAAGGTTTAAATTATTTTGCTAAACTCATTATTTACATCCTATGTTTTCACCAATCTGTCAAAAGAAATTCTCTATTATCTTCTATCGATTCGGTTAAATGAGTTCTTGTATTTTTTATTTTAGTTAATTGAGTATAATTTGTTAAAATTAAAAATGTATTTTAACTAATTGAATAATTATGTTCATTACTTGTGTCATCATTATCAATTTTAAACTTTTCAAATTAATATTCTGCAGTCTAAATCCAAAAAAAAAAAAAAATGATGTAATTAAGCAGAAGCATACAACTAATTTAAAAAAAATTAATATACATGTAATCATTCAAAATTATATGCATTTATTAATATCAAAATAAATATTCAAAAAAAGAAAAAAAGAAAAAAGCCTGTTGTACGTGGAAAAGTGCCAACACGATAAGATTTACTTTTCTAATTAAGTACAAGTCTATCCATAACAAAATGGTGTTACAGGCTTACAGACTTGTAAAAGTAACTTTATATTAAAATTAAAAATAAAAATCTAACCCACAAAGTTAGGTTAAAAGCTTCCAACCCACAAAGTTATAAATGGCCAATCTTTAAGAAACAAAATCCATTGTTCCCTCGTCTTGACATTTTAGGAGGTTCTTCTTATCGATAGCCTTCTAACATTGAGTCATCCTTGCGATTTCAAATAATTAATTGTTCACCAAATGATGGAGATGAATAAATTTTAAATCGTCTTTTAAAAAATAACAATCACATAAATAGTTTCATGATAGGAATCATTCAGGTAAGATTTATATGCGACTCTTAAAAATATTAAGGTCATTTAAGAATTATTTTATTAAGGTCATTTAAGAATTATTTTCTATTTTTCTTAATTTTTTATATTTTTAATGTTCAAAAAGCCAAAATATTAGTTAGTTATGTGCAACACAATGTTGACCAAGATTTTGAGCTTTAATTTCCAGAAGAATTAAAAAAAATATAAATAAAATAAAATAAAGCAAACCAAAAGATTTACTGGTTAAAAAAAATGCTATTTTGGAGGGTTTATGAAAGGTTTACATGATTGTAATTCTTTTAGTGAATCAAAATTTAGATGGAGGTTTTTTTTTTTTCTAATAAACTGTATATTGTATGAATTTTTATTAACAATTAAAGTCAGTCGGATCAAATTACTTAAATATATATAAAAAAATGGAATTAAATTTATAAAATTATTTATATATGGTATAATCTGTCTGTGGATTTGATGCAAAAACAGAATTTTTTATTATTTTTGATTTTTTATATTTTTAATGTTCAAAAAGCCAACAAATATAGTTTTTGATTTTGAAAAATTCTGAATTTTTTTTTATTAAAATGGACTGAATTTTTTTTCACTATATGTGCAAAACGTTTGCTTAAAATACAAAAAACGAACTTTTGGAAAAGGATGATGATAGCTGAAAAATCATCAGATGAATTAAATCTCAAAAAATTAAGAGTTTAGGGTTTCTCAAAATCAATAAAAAAGTTTAGAAAGTTAATTTCAAATGACTTAAATTTCAAAAGTGAATGGATCCTTTTAGGTTTTTTTTTAGGGGGTTTAATTTCAATTTACTTGTATTTTTGTCTTGTGATTCTTGATTAATTTCTATTTAAATTCTAATTAGTGGGTTTTGAGAATTAGGTTAGGATTTATTTTTTTTTCTTTATGATTTTGTCTGTGTGTGCGTAAGGAAGAAGAATATTAAAAAGAAAAAGAAGAAAATAAAGTAAATAAAAATGGAATTGGATATGCGAAGCAGATTGTGGGAATTACTAGATAATTGACTGATAACCCTAATATCAAATAAAATTCAATTAAAAAAAAAAGGATATTAAGATAAAGAGGAAAAAAAAAAACTTGTCTCTTGAGCTAATAAATGGGCCCTGATTCTAACAAGATACGTTGGAATAAGTATGGGCCTTGAACCGAACCTTGGCCTTTTCGTCTTACCCACTAAAGTAAATCATGGGCTTCGTGATATGGCCTGTAAACTTGGATTTCAGCCTATTGAAAAACCGAAACTAAACAAAAAAGACAGCCGCTTTCTTTTCTTTTCTTTTGCTCTTTTTCCCCACCTTTAATTGATTCCATACTGCTTTGAAATAAGTTTTATTTTTTATTTTTTTTCCATCAGAACAAATGCCGGTCCTGGTGTGCTTAAAGACAATTTGATTGTGTCGTTTGAATCTTTGGGTTGATTTCGATCGTAAATAGTAATTTATTATAATAATAAAATAATAAAAAGAATGGTAATTGCGATCGTAAATCGTAATTTATTATAATAATAAAATAACATCGTAAAAATCGATTGTAATTTATGGTATTAGTAAGCTAACAGATGATAATAAATTTATTATAATTAATATATTTATAATAGTTTTATTAATTAATTATAATAGTAACAACATTAATAGTTTAATATCAATAACAGTTGAATTTATTAAAAAAAGTTAACAAAATTTTAATATCATACAAGTAATAATAAAATACAAATAATTATTTTTTTAAACAATGTTATTATTCATCAAATGAACGACTTATAATGCTGATATTTGTGAAACATTATTATGTTTCTTAAGACCGCATATAACAATAACAGAAATACCTAAATTAATTTTACAACGATAATTAATTGAAATTATGATTGTAGCACTGTCATGGTTGTAAGAAAGGGAATTAAACTATCTCTTTCTCATTTTCAAATGAACATAAGATTTACATGTTTAAAGTATATATATATATATATATATATATATATATTCCATGGGTATATAGCAAAATTATTAAAAAAACTAAAAGAATTGATGTGTTCACTATTCGAACACTGTATCTCTACGCTCATATAGTCATTGTGGACTGTGACTCAGTTGCACCATGTTACCATTTTGTCTCGTCTCCGCCGTTCGATCGTCTTTTGTTTTGCCTTGCTCTTTCGATCTCTGCCCTCCCTTCTTGGCTGTGCCATCTAATGCCTTGCATTAATGGTGCTCTGTTATTGATATTTGTTTCCATGCTTCTTTTGTCTCTTTTGATTTTTTTTCTTCTCATTTTCTTTCTTTCTCCAGAGCTAGTTCGTGGTGGTGGAGGGCTCCGCCGTCCCTTATTGTGTATGCTAAATGCTGACATGTAATAATTGAAATAATAGAGTGAGTAAAGGCTTGAGCGGTAAAAAATAATGAAACTGACATTTTTTTAAAGGCTTTCCCATTGCCAAATGAATGGGAGAAATAAAACTGCTGACAACGGTTTGTGCTGTTTTCAAATCGTATGCTTTATTTTTAGTTTTTCAATATTTTAATAAAAAATATTCCAACACTTAATCTAATTGCTAATTACATACAATGATATTAAATTAACATTTAACAGTGGAGTTTAATTATGATAAAAAGGCAAACGAGTTTAATTGAAAAATTACATATCTCGTGTATGCTTTTTTTTTTTTTAAAAAAAAATAACTTCCTTTAAGGTTGTGTTTTTTTTTTAGAAAAACAAGTTCCATAGGAAAATCAATTTCCGAGGAAGCTATTTTTCATAAATACTAACTCTAAAATTTTAATTCAAAAAATAAAATTTACTTTTTTAACTATCAAACCAATTCATCAAAATTGCTTGGGATAAAATCAAGTTAATATTCACATTTAGTAAAAAAAGATTCTAAGTAATCCTAGCATTGTTATTTTGATAAGTCAATTAAGAGTTCCTTTTTTTTTCTTTTTTTTTTTTTGTAGAAATTGAACTGGTAATTTAGTCTGAAAAATAATTTTATAAATTATTAGTTATCATTTATAGATAATTATTCATTTGGTCTCAAAAGATTAATGTTGGAATAATTTGTAACTAATTATTCACTACAATTACCAACAAAATTTAACAATTAATTAAAATTACAAATTATTGATTTAATTGCAAATGAATAGTGTTTGAAAAATAATGTATTTATTGATGAATTAATTAATTTTAATTTTTTTCACAAAAAATTATAGTCTTGTGATAATAATTTTCAATCATTTAAGTATATTTTAGGTGGTGTTTGAGATAATAATAAAAAGATAGAGATAAATTATTGAAATATTTATTATAAAAATAATTTTAAGGTGTAAAAATGATTTTTAAGAATATTTAATATATCTATAAATCAAATATTAGTAAAAATAGAGAAAAAATAATTAAATAGTTATTAATTATTGATAAGGAATAATTAAAAATTAATCTGATATATTTTAAATAAAAGGAAGATAGAGAAAAAAATTATTAAAATATAGCGAGAGAGAGGTAAGTAATGCAAGAGTGAGACAACTCATGAGAAGGAAAATATTTTTCTCTTTTAAAAAAGAAATTTTTTTTTCAAAAATAATCTATCATGTTTTGTTGACTTTTTTCCTAAATGCCAAACGAGATACTTGAAAAATAGAAAAAATAAGTTCTTAGAATTTGTTTTTCCTCGAACAAACACAGCCTAATTGAAGTCTCATACTTCATTTTTATGCTTTGGATAAGTAGGATTTGGCTGGCCATTGAATGACTCCATCGGGTAGTACCTATTGACTCATTTTTTTATTCATTATATTATTTTTAATACACATACATATGTATGTATTTATAATAATATAGTCTAATTCTGAATAATTTGTGTAAATAATTTTTATAAATATCAAATATGAAGTCTCTATTTTAAAAAACAAGATGAGGTCTCATCAATTAAAATACTGATGTGATCTGATGATTTGATTCATTGAAAGTTCTGTTGGTTCTTGAACTATCGAATAGAAAATAACCATATTCTAATACATAATTATCAAATAAATTAGAATTATTAAAAGTGAAATTATTTTCATTGAAAAAAACTACCACATACATATAATTGTTAGATTCATCTGCTTATATGATTTTGAAAGATTATCTGTGTAGTTTTTTTTTTAAAAAAATATCAACACTTGTCTTATTAAAAAAATAAAAAATCTAGGGCTGTCACTGCTCATCTATTGTAGCAATTTTTTTTCTTGGGTTGAACGGCCTTGGCTGCCTAGCACACTAGCCTGCACTCGCAAGCCCAACCATGAGCCCAAGTGAGCAACCTATCCTGGCAGCTTCCCCCCCCCCCCCCCTTCCCTCTCTTTTTTTTTTTTTTTCCTTTTTTTCTATATATATATATGTATGTATGTATGTATATTTGTGTGTGTGTGTGTGTGTATTATCATGAAATTAGATGTGAAAAATATAGAAAATAAATCGTTATTTTTTTTTTAGTTTTACGCATATTTTGAAGATGATAGAATATATATGATATTTTTTTAATTTTAATTTGAACACACACACACACATATTATTGTTATTGTTTAAATTTTATTTCTTCAATTATTTGTTTCTTATTAAAATTCTCATTAAATTAATTTTTTGATATAATTTTATTTGTTAATAAATTTGATTTTTTAATATATGAATTTTGGAATAAAATTTTAGAACGTCGGTGTTTTATTTTTAAAAATATATTATTATAATTAATAGAATAAATTATTTTTATACTTTTTAAATGAAATAAAATTGTAATTTATAACTTCTAATTATATATATATATATAGAGAAAGAGAGAGAGAGTCGAGATTATGTTTTAGATAGTTTGCGTTAATTTTTTTTTAATTTAATAATCGGTTAAAAAAATCTCATAAGTTTTATCTCGCTTTTTTATATATATTTATTCAGAATTTATCAGAATCAATTTTATTGTAGTTTGTATTTTAATATATTAACTTCAATATATTTTTTACAATTTAGCGAGCCTCACCTTTTTTCTTCTTTTTATTTTTTATTTTTGTCTTTTTCTTCATATATATTATCATAAAATTAAGTGTGAAAATATAGAAAATAAATTGTTATTTCTTTTTAATTATATATACAGTTTAAAGATGATATAATATATATGATATCTCATCTTTTAAGATTTTACTTTGAACATATATATATGACTATATTACTCTTATTGTTTAAAATTTATTTCTTCAATTATTTTTTTCTTGTTAAAATTCTTATCAAATTAATTTTTTGATATAATTTTATTTGTTAATAAATTTGGTTTTTTAATATATGAATTTTAGAATAAAATTTTAGAGCATAGATGCTTTATTTTTTAAAAATATATTATTATCATTTATAAATTCTGATTTTATATATATATATATATAGAGAGAGAGAGAGAGAGAGAGCTAAAAGTATGTTTTAGATAGTTTGACTCATTTTTTTTAAATAATAATCAATTAAAAAATCACAAGTTTTATTTGCTTTTTTCTATATATATTTATTCGAATTTAACGAACTAATTTTGGTGTAGTTTTCATTTTAATCTATTGACTTCAGCATATTTCATATAATTTAGATTGATTTTTTTTTCATATGTTTTTTCTATTTATTCTATTTACTCTGCTTTTTTATATATATTTATTCATAATTTATCAGAATCAATTTTTTTTGTAGTTTTTATTTTAATCTATTGACTTCCTTATATTTCATACAATTTAGGTGTATTTTTTATATTTTTCTGTTTATTCTATATACTTTTAATATGTTAAGTATGATATATATATATATATATTAGAAATTAACTACATATACGCACACATAATACCAATTATTTTTTATTTATTTTTTCATATTCTAAATTAATTTTTCAAATAAAATAAGTTAGATAATGTTTTGAAAGAACCTCCTAATTATTCAAATTTAAATTTTTATGCTAATATTATTAAATATTTTATTAATACATATATATAAATCAAACGATTTTGCTTAATATATAGATTCGATTTACATTAATCATAAAAAATAAAACTTTTATTCGCACTACGCCATACGAATCATTAACCCTACGTATGTAACGGTTGGTTAAGCTGCAGCGTAGCGCAAGTATCTAACTAGTATAACTAAAAGAACTGAACCTTTTACTATTCATTTACCGTAGCTCTAGACTCGAGTGCATTGTGGATAGTTTTTTTTTTTTGTGATTTTCCGCATTTTGGTGGGTGAAACTTATACAACTTTTTACACTTTGGTCCCCGATACTTTCGAATGAATATTTTAATCCATATCTTCATTTGCTAATCCATTTTAGTCCCTGTGTGTAGAGAGAAGGGAGGGAAGAAGAGAGAGAGACGGGAGTAGAGAGAGATTGCCGACCAAGCTTGTTTAGGCCATTTTGATCGACGAAAATCCATTAGATTTTTTTTTTTTTTATCTTTGAGAGATGAGTTTGTCCATAGTGGTTTCAAGCCATTAAACAATTAAAAGAGGTAGATGGAAGCCAATAAAGAAAAAAAATTTCCAATTTGATTACGTTTTTTTTTTTTTGTGTGCATTAAAATGATTTTAAGGTTTTAGATGCGTTTATTAATTTTATTTCGATCATTTATAAGTGTTTGGAGGAAAAAAATGATGCCAAAATTTAATTTCTAAGGGTTTGAAAATTGACCCTAGATTTTTCGACGAAGCTTCCGGCAACCTCGAGTTAACTGGAAGTTATAGGTTTTTTTTTTTGGGTTGATCGGCGGCCTAGGCTCGATGAGTGGGCCTTTTCCTCCTTCTTCTTCTTCTTCTTCTTTTTTTTTTTTTTTTTTTTTTTTTTCATATATATATATACACATCCGAGCTGGCTTGTCTTTGTTGCATAAGCCAACGAGGTCCCCGACTCTTTTTGTTTTCCTTCCTCTATATATATACTGTCCTAAGTAGGCGCGAGTCATGGGCACATGCTTTGGAATTAGGTATGAAAAATATAAAAAATAAATCATTATTTTTTTAGTTGTACGTATAGTTTAAAGATGATAGAATATATATTTTTGATTATATTACTCTTATTATTTAAATTTATTTTTTCAATTATTTGTTTCTTATTAAAATTCTCCTTAAATTAATTTTTTGATATAATTTTATTTGTTAATAAATTTAGTTTTTTAGTATATCGATTTTGGAATAAAATTATAGAATTTTAGTGTTTTATTGTTTTAAAATATATTATTATAATTTATATAATAATTATTTTTTTGCTTCTTCAATGAGTTTTTTATTTTTAATATATATATATAGAGAGAGAGAGAGAGAGAGAGAGAGAGAGAGAGAGAGAGAGAGAGAGAGAGAGAGAGAGAGAGAGAGAGAGAGAGAGAGAGAGAGAGAGAGAGATTAAAGTATGTTTTAAATAGTTTGACTTTTTTAAAAGAAAATAATAATCGGTTAAAAGAATTCACAAGTTTTATTTTCTTTATATATATATATATATATATATATATATATATATATTTATTTATTTATTTAGAATTTATCGAAGTTAATTTTATTGTAGTTTTTATTTTAATCCGTTGACTTCAATATATTTCATACAACTTAGATGGTTTTTTTTATATATATATATTTTTATAGTTATTCTATATACTCCGAATTTGTTATATATATATATATATATATATATTTGTGTGTGTCATTAATTTTGTAAGAAATTAACTATATATCTCCATACATAATGCTAATTATTTGTTATTTATTTTTTCATATATTTTTTTTTAAATAAAATAAGTTTGATAATGTTTCGAAAGAGCCACCTAATTATTTCAATAGAAGTTTTTATGCTAATATTATTAAATATTTTATTAATAAATATATATAAATCAAACGATTTCGTTCAATATATAGATTCGATTTATATTAATCATAAATATAAAATTTCTACTCACACTACATCATACATATCGTTAATTCTAACTATGCAATAATTGTTTTACCACGAGCATGCTTAGGTATCTAAGTAGTAATGACTATAACAACATTCAAGGATATTTATAAAATAATAATTTACAATGGACCAAGTCCCAGTCTTATGTGGTGGGGAGTGGGAATGGTGTTCATGGAACATTAATTGAAACTCGATTAACCTAATGTATCTTAGGATAGACACGATACAATTTTTTATTGATATTTTTTTCGTAGTAAAATTTTTTTCAATTCAATTGAAAAAAATAAAAATTTTAAAAATATTAGTATTAAGATTTTTTATTTTTTTTTAAAAATACGAGATGGTAGTTCATTGATAAACAAACATTGATTTGTAGGTAAAATTTAAGATTCGATCTTTGTGACTAATATTTTTAAAAATTTATTATCAGAATATTCAAAATTATGTGTTGAAAATGCTATTTAACCACGTCTAGAAAGAGATTGATTTCGAAGTATATAAAACTTAATCCGGAGACATCTTTACAAAAAAAAAAAAAACTTGTTCGTTAAGGTTATCCTTTGAATTAATTAACAAAATAGAAAGTGAGATATATGTGTCCATCAAAACCAGCACATGCATAGGAAAGATCCGAGGGTCGGCAATGAAAAATGCAAATGCAAAATGTCACATCCAATTCCACATGGCCTCATCTTATTGGTCTCAAAATGTAATTAAGGACAATCAAACTACGTACGGTCTCCCATTTCTCCTACTTAAGATGTAACCATGCATCTATAGAATATAAAGAAATGTATGCTTATGTTCACGTGAACTTTTTGTTACAAAGGCTTGTTATATATATATATATATATATATATATATATATATATTCCAGTAGCTTACAGTAGCTATATTTATACTAGTAAGATTTAGATGTTTAAATTATGTATAAAGAATGTTGTTCCATAGGAATACAATCAAATGACGATTACTACACAAACAATAAAGGATATGAATTAATATATACTTTGTTTATCTAAAACAGATTGTCTTGTTTAACTTTTTATACGTATTAAAAATATTATTAATTGATATGTCATGTTATTACTTTTATTTATATTATTCAAAAATGTCTCTTTTTTAATTGTAGTTATTAAATTGTGGAGACTGATATGAATTAAGAAATCGCAGTATAAGACGTTATGCATATGACGGTCTCGTTAGTCGGTTAGCAAGCCGAGTTCAAAGGAGCGAGTGTCCTTTGCGGAGGCTTAGGTGTGGAGTTTTCGAAAGATCTACGGAATATTGGATCGGATGTATAAGTCCATTAAGCTTTTTTCTTATAACCTAGCTAGTTATCCACACTATGAATATAATGACAACATCAATTGAATTTATAACGGCTATTAGATAAAAGCTAATATAATCGTGAAATAGACACAATTGCCTAATCACATAAGTCTCTATGTTATGCGATTGTTATTATCTTCTTATTTTATTTTCATACTTGATTCATTTCCTAATAATAGTACCCTATAAATGAAATTTAATTATTAGCATTGTAGTAAAACAAATGATTTAAATATTTTTATCAAGCAATTATTTTAGGACAAATAAAAAAAAGAGGATAATTTCTTTGAAATAATAATTTATAATGGATCAAGTGCAGGTCTTGCAACACTTGACATGTGGTGAGGAGTGGGACTGGTGTGCATGGATCATTTGTTGAAATTAAACATGCATGACCAAACTAATGTACCTTAGGATAGGTGCAATGCAGCCTTTCTATTGATTTTTCTTTTTTCACACTAAAGATTACTCGAGTAATTTTCATGTAAAACGAAATTAAGCTTTTTTTTTAAAAAAAGGAATTTTAAGAGTATTTTTTACACGTCAATCTAGTAATGAATTTCTCGAATTAATTTTCATGTCAAACAAAATTAATTTTTTTCGAGCAATTTTAATAATATTTCTAACACATCGATCTAGTAAATTCAAAAAAACAAAGTTTCTAAAATATCAATACTTTAAGTCAACAAAAAAAGAAAAAAATGAACAAACTAACCTTCTTCACTACTGATTAAATCTATTTGTTAAGGTTATCCTTTGAATTAATTAACAAAATAGAAGGTGATACGATCGAGTCCATTAAAACCATCAAATGCATATTAAACTTGGGAGGATGATGGCTGCATGAAATCCCACGTGCCCTCATCTTATTGGTCTCAAAATATAGGGACAATTAAACTATAGACCGTCTCCCATTTGCCCTACTTAATTCACAACACTCATTCTCATATCTCCATCCCTCTCTATATATATTGTTTCAAAGTAGTACTCTCAATTCCATCATTTCATAATTAGGTTTGGATCAAACCATACATAAAACCATGGTGGAAAAGGTATGATTTATTTGTTTCAAATTGTTTTCTAGTGGTATTAATAATCATGATCGATGAGTTCTTTATATATATATATATATATATATATATATGTATGTATGTATGAACGTATATGTATATACATCTATGTATGTATATGTATATGTATGTATGTATATGTATGTATGTATATAGGCACGGACTAACTGTTATGATTATAACAAGTCACAACAATGGCGATTAAGGTTGACCTTGGATGTGAGAAATGCCGCAAGAAAATCAAGAAAGTACTGTGTAAAATATGTGGTGAGTTTTTCTTAATTTTCTCCATAAAAGTAGCATAAGTTTTGGGCTATCTTTTTACTTTTGACCCAAAGGAAAGTGACTAAGTTTTGATGATGTTTCTGAACATGGAGAAATTCAAAACCAAACGTATGACCAGAAGGCAAACACAGTGACAATAACTGTGTAACTGTGGCATCTAGCTTTCCTGAAAAGATCAAGAAAAAGATATGCTGCAAAGGAGGTGAAGCTGTGAAAGGCATTGAAATCAAGGTACCAGAGAAGCCGCCGGCTAAACCCACAGATAATAAAGCTCAGCCAAAAAAACAAGAGAAACCCACATCTCTTGAACCGGTTACAGGGCACCCAGTACAGTTCTACCCAAAGACATGTTGTAGTGAATGCTATCAAAGGTTTGGTGGAGGCCCGTGTTTTAATGGCTGTGGTAGGCCAAAACTTCAATGCTGGTGGTAGTTGTAGTTGCCGAGGTAAGGGTTACTATATATTCATGTAGATGTGAATATGGTTATGGAAATAATCCCTCATCATGCACAATCATGCAAAGGGAAAAAAAGTCATTATGACTTGCTTTTTATGCATATTTTCTTTCATTAGGAGTTACCTACTGTATTGACGCTCTTTTGAAGTGTGTAGATTTCTTATTTAAAGATATATGTAAACTTGTACGTAACTCCCCAGGCTTTGTTCTGATTATTTTTGTTTTGTAGTTTTGTCTGTCCCTTAAATAAATAAATAAATAAATAAAAGTCATTACATTGAAGGAAATAATCTCTCGCCATTTTTCAATATCTAAGATTTTACTAGTTTATTTGAAGACTATTAATGCCATTAGTGTTCCATTGAAATAAAATATTCCAATGGTCTTGATGCATGTACCTTAATTATAAGTAATATTTTATAGATGATCAAAACATGGGCATTGTAGCATGATCATCATGAAGCAAAATAATTAATAGATGTCCATATTGGTCTTTTGACAAGATATCGAGCTTTGATGATCAAACGGTCTCGAGTTCGAATTCTATCACTACTACTTTCTCTTCCAATTAATTAAACACAAGATAGTGTTGGTACGTGCAAGTTTTTAGTCCAGGAGGGCTTTCATTTAAGGGATGTATTAGAAAATAATATAAATCATATTCCGAGGCTTCACTGACGAGCTTAAGCTTTTAAGTGAGATGATCCTTTAATACCCATATTATATGCATATGTCAAAGGGTATTGCTAAATTCACCACATCAATTGTTATTCCTACTATTTTTTTTCTAGATATTTACTAACATACCCTCCTTCAATGTTTCTTAAATAATAATTTTATATGTTTTACATTAAATATCCAAAATACCTATTAAATTGAGATTGCTAATAGATTTGGAAGGAAAAAAGAAGAAGGAATTAATGGTGATGAAATGAAGTCCGCGACGCATAAACGAGCCTCAGCATGATGACAATAAAATTGCATCATTATATTCCACGAAGAACAATGGGATTGGTTGTGGCTTGACTTATAACGTCCAGTTTTGAACTATAGATTGACGCTGGACCAGGAAAAATCACTGCAGCATGAGGGCAAACATGGTTTCTCAGCCTATTTGCACAAGAATATGCTACTCCACGTCCATGGCATTCATTTTCTCCAACTGGTTTGAAGCTTCAGTCAGAATATCTGTCCATAAACTGAGAAAAAGAAGTCAACTGCAGCAGGGGACAGAGCAAAAGTTTGTCTCTGTAACTTAAGAAAAAGAATCCCAATGAGTTGGAACAGTGATAAATATTACATTTGCCATTTCTAATCTGCTTGCTAGTTTTTTAAATGTTTCAGCTATATCATTTCTGACAGCACCAACCCAGCTTCAAATCCTTCTACTACTTCTCAGATGTTTTTATCTCACATGTAATCAGAACTTGCTGCAAACATTTAGAAGCACAAAAGGAGTAGGAAATGAAAGTCAACGAAGATGCCCATTTGGCTAAGACAATATTAAAATTTAGAAAAGAACACAAGTTGTTCAATTTCTCTACAGAACTAATAAAATCAATTATTAAGTTCATAACTTCTGTTCCGAGCAGCATGAGGAGATCAAATAAGATGAATAAGTTGTAGTAAGAAATTTTGTTATAATAATTACTTATGATCAATCTTTTAAGAATAACTAACAAAATTATATGATTCTTAACAAAGAAACAAAAACTAAAGCAAACATAAATTACATCAGTTTCAAAAGAATTAGATGAGACAGAGAGATTGAGTACTTTCAGGTTTCCCTTTTGCTTTTCCTTAAGCTGTGGTTGATGCTCTATGTCAGTTAAGCTTCAAGTCAACTGTTTCTAATCTTATTATCCAAAGCTGGATTTTATTATTCGAAAATCCTTATCAAACAGAGCCTAACTATCTTCCTAGTATTTTTTCTTCAATAGCAGGCGAAGCCTATGGATTTTATTCAATATTTTTATGTGGAGAGACTTTTGTATTTTGCTGGCAAAACAATGTGAGAGACTTTTGGTATTTTGATTAAAAAAGGTCAAAACAATATGGGCCCAATTATCATTGTTTATTTTGTCATGTTTTAATTTTAATGGGTATTTTAGGTATTTAATGTAAAATATATAAAATTATTATTTAAAAAGCATTGAAGGAGGGTTTGTTAGTGAATGTCTAGAAAACAAATGGCGGGAATAACAATTAATATTGTGAATTTAGCGGTACCCAGTTTCAAATTAATTATTCTACTATAAATTTAGTCACCTTAACCCTTCTAATTCTGATTTTGATATACATAAATTGCGTATTAAACGTTAAAGATTTTTTTTTTAATCTCATCATTGAATTCAACAATTCAGTTAAATTTGATAAGTAATCTTAAACAAGGATTTAAATTATTTTTATTTTTTGGGTCCGAGATTTTTTGGATCTTCTAAGGTATCTCGGAACCAAAAACGCAGACTAATTACTCGTTGTTATGTCGGTCATACAAGGCGGGGACATCTACCCATAAAGTTTTTTGTATACACAAAGATTCGAATTTGATATCACTTGCTTAAGCGATTAAAGGCATTTTCACTCAATCTAACCCTCTTGGATAAATTATTTTCATTTTTAAATTTAAAATAATACTCAATTAATTTTACTTTAATTAAATGATTTACATTTAATGAAAAGATAAATATATAAAAAAAATGTCAAATTGTATATATATGTGAGAAACAAAAAAGCACGGTTCTTACCATTTAAAAAAATGTGCTTTTCAAACATAGGGAAAGGGACATGGCGTATTGAATGCATTGACATCATTTCACCAAAAATATTACAAAAATTTCCTTTCGAGTCCTATTATATTAATTATATTTAAATTGTCCTTAATTATCATCTAGAAAAAAAAAACAATAATTAATTTAATTTTTTAAAAAAATTAGAGAAAAAAATGAAGATGGAAACTCAAAGCAAAATCACATGAAATTAAATACTAAAACTAATATTGTTTATATACAAAGAAAAGCCATTTTCCATATATATATATATATATATTATCTAATTTTAATAAATTTTCAATTTAATTATTTTTTTGAATAATAATTAAGGACATTAATTTTGAGTATAATAGGACTTATAAACGATTTATGCAATACTTTTTTAAACATGAAAAGTTTTTTTGTTATATGTTGAAATGTTTAGATAGTCTATATAATCCCACAACATCTCAATTATCCCTCTAATGAAATGACAAAAGCTTTAATAGAAATTCAAGAGGTTATGGCCATGTTTATTGACTTGGAATTTCGATCAAATAGTTTGTAACTCAATGATAATGATCTTTTATAAGAAGTTACGGGTTCAAATTCTAATATATTAATTCTGTTATGAGCCTTGGGTGTGTGAGTTTTTTTTTAAAAAATTGACTTGAATTTCACTTGTTCCATGATAGGCTAGGAGTTGGACAATTTGGGCAGCCCATTGAATTATCATGGACAGCTTCTGGAGAAACAATTTTTGAACTTTTCTCCTTTCTGTCCACACATAGCAATAAGCAAATAGCCATTGTCTCGTCTCCATTCCCTAATGTATTGCATCACCATCATTGTTCAAGTGATGGAATAAAACCATGAACATATTTTTAATGCTAGATGTTTAGGGAAAACGATTAGAAAAATCTCTGTATTGGTATAAATTTGTCAAATTGACTCTTATAACCATTTTTTTAACGACGATAATGATATTTTTTATTTAATTTGTAAGACAAAAAATATTATACTTTTATTTCTAGATAATCTTGATAGTTTTTTTTCTTAGTGTTAGTACTCAAAATAAAGCTTAGAAAGTCAAAAGATATAGACAAAGCTTGTTCACCTAACTTTGTGGCCAACCTCGGTATTGATTGACAAAACAGAAGGTGGCTACCATATATCCCCGCGTTGCTTGTAGGGTGAACTATACAACATTCTTATATATTTATTCATATAAAATTTAAAATTTAAAAATAATTATTTAAAAGTATAATGCAAAAAAAATTAAAAAAATAACCAAAATATATATTTCATATTTTGTTGTGTCGTCGCTTGACGTCGGACGGGACTCCAAAAAAATAAATTTATGTGTTAATTATTTATAAAATTATTTACGAGTTTTGGAGTCACCACCTAGTATTGAAGGAACCTAAAAATAGGCATTGGCTCGGAGATTCTATGACAAGGAGTTGGTTATACTTTTAGGAAGATATTTAATCACCCAAAAGTGCCCTTTCCGTAGAAAGGTACTACGTCTAGTTTAATTCCGAATTCATCTCCTAAAACATTTTATCTACGCCAAATTATCTTTCGATTTTAAACTCTAATTTTTAAAGTATAATTAAGTTTTTTAGTTTTGGGCGTGACATCGTATTGAAACGATTATTGGTCCTCTTTGTCGAGTGACACGTCGATTCAAACATCGGATTCACTATAAGCCTTGACACAACCGGCGTGTTGAAGGACATCCTAATTAAATAATGATTTTTAGTGACGTTAGTCCCTATCGGATAGGAGACTTCATCAAAAAATTTAGATATTTTTTTGGTGACATCGATCCCTATCGAGTAGGAGAGTTCGCCAAAAATTTTAGATGTTTTTTCTTTATTATTATTATTTTTTTAATCTAATAAAATGAAAAATAAATAAATAAATAAAAATATCAACTCTAAATTATTACAAGAAAAACGTGACGAGAAATAAAAATAATCAAGCTAAAAAAATAAGAGAAATAGATAAATGCAAAACGTTAAAAGAAATCGTTTTGGACCTAATCCATTAACCTACAACTTAATTTTTCTCCTACCCATTCCCCTTTTTTTTTCTAGTTCTATTTTTTATTATTTTTATTTTGGGAGAGGCTTGGACCTAATTCCAGCCTCTCTTTCTTGTTTTATTCTATTTTTTTTGTTTTTTTATTATATTTTTTTTGGGAGAAGAGTTGGACAAGTTCGGCCTTCTCGTTTTTCTTTTACCGAGAGCCTTCTTGGTTTTTTATTTGGGTAAAGGAATTTACTTTAGCCCCTTTTGTTTTGTTTTTTTTTTTAATGGGAGGTAAGGGTTGGGCTCTATTTATTTGGGCGGAGGGGGCACGGTTTGGACTAAACTCGGTCTAGCCCTTTTTTTTCTTTTTTCTTTCATTGATCATACTGGGCTTCAAGCCCAAAAACATGACCCATCTCTTTCCTTTTATTTTTTTCGATCAAACGGGGACTTGCAAGCCTCTCGCCCTATCTCTCTCTTATTTTTCGCATGCTTCATTAAGAAACGCTCGAGGATGGAAGATCAACCATGAAAAACACCAAACAAAGGACTAAAGGAGACCGACGGATGATGAATTGAAACCCGGAACCCCAAGAACACTAAGAACACTAAGGACCCAAACCCAAAAACCTAGAAAAATTTAGCTAATAAAGATCGGAAAATCAAATCTTTTTGCCCTTGGTTTTCACTCTCTCTCAACCCGGATCCCCCTCTTTTTTTTTGTGAAATCGGACCCATTTTATAGCCACAAACTTCCTTGAATTTCTCTAAAAATCAGAATCTCAATCTTGAATTTTTTTATCAAAAAAATTTCCTTTTTAATTTGATTAACTAATCCATAAGAAAAGGAATCCGTCATTGCTTGATTCTCTCGTTGGTATTGATTTTGATCAAGAATCCATGATTAGTGCAAAATTAAAATAGAAAATTTGGTGAAAGATTTGAAAGATTTTCCTAAGGATTTTTGAAGAGAATCGGAATTAGTGTGGACGACATGTCGTCCTCTTCATTTCAGCCCTACTCGTCCACTCTAAAATTCTAATTTGGTCCCTGTGCATTTCAATTTTCAACAATCATGCCCTCTTGTGGTATAATTTCAATCTTTATAAAGCACAATCTTATTAATTGGGTCCCTGTAGGATGCAATTTAGGTTTTGAATTTTTCAATTGATTCGGTTATATCTCTAATTACTTTAATTATACCTTCCTTTAAATGCAATTATACCCCCGAATGAATGTTTTTATGTTTTTCATCTTTTTTTTTTGGTTTTTTATAGTAAACTCCAATGTGAAATAAAAATAAAAATAAAAAAAGATATAAAAAATAATAAAAAATTAAAAGAAAACATAAATAAAATTAAACAAATAAAATAAAACAAAATGAGTAAATTTTGAGTTATTACGAGTTGCCTCATCTTTACAATGCTTATGGCATAAAGTCAAATGAAAAGGATGTCTTTCAATGACTTTGTTTAATAAGCTTGTAGAGAAAAAGGTGTTTTTTTTTAACTCGAAAGTAAAGTCTGTGATGGGATGACTTTGTTATGAAGGATGGCATAATTTAAAAGTTAAAAATGCAATGCATGACGTTGTTGTAAAGGGTAACCTACCCTAAAAATTAAACGTACGATGTGTGGCCTTATTGTAAAGGGCGATCTATCCTAAAAATTAAACATGCAATGCGTGACCTTGTTGTAAAGGACAACCTACCTTAGAAAATTAAACGTGCAATGTGTGACCTTATTGTAAAGGGAAGCCTACGGCAGGAACTAAACGTGCAATACGTGGCCTTATTGTAAAAATGCAACTTATCCTAAAAAATTAAACGTGCAATGCTTGGCCTTATTGTAAAGGGCGGCCTACCCTAGGAATTACACGTACAATACGTGACCTTGTTGTAAAGGGCGGCTTACCAGTAGAAATTAAACGTGCAATGTGTAGCCTTGTTGTAAAGGGTAGCCTACCCTAAAAAATGAAAGATTATTAGGTAACCCTACGTAAACAATGAACTAGATTGGTAACCATGCTTGAAAATAAGTGTTAGGTAACTTTACCTAAGTATTAAACTAAACTTGGCAACCACTGCTCAAAAAATAAACGTTAGGTAACCTTACCTAAATGATTGACTAGATAAAAAACCTTGTCCGAAAATAAAATGATCATTAGACGACCTTGCCAAGAACGATAAACTAAATTAGGCAACCTTGTCTAAAAAATAAGAAAGATCGTGAGGCATCCCCGCCTAAACGGTGAACTAAATTGGCAACCTTGCCTAGAAATGAGTGTTAGATAACCCTACCTAAGCAATAAATTAAATTTGATAACCTTGTCCAAAAAATAAACGCTAGGTAACCTTACCTAAATGATTGACAAAATAGGTAACCTTGGTTGGAAAAGAGAAGATCATTAAGCAACCATGTCCGAAAAAGATCATTAGGTAGCCCTACCTAAAATAAATCATTAGGTAACTCTACCTAAGCAATTGAATAAATAGGCAACCACTGCCTAGAAATGAGATGATTGTTAAGCAACCATGTCTAAGTGATGAAGCTGGATTAAAGCAACCTCGCTTAAAAATGATCATTAGGTAACCCTTCCTAAATGATGGACTAAATCGGCTAACTTGCCTAAAAATGCACGTTAGGTAACCTTACCTAAGTGATTGACTAAATTAGGCAACCTCACTTGAAAATGAAAGTGATTGATAAGCAATCGTGCCTAAAATGAGAATGATTATTAAGAAAGCTTACTTAAACGGTGAACTAAATATACGGCCATGTCTAAGAATGAGAAGGTCATTAGAAAACTCGCTTGAATGATGGGCTAAATAGGCAACCCCGGCTGTAAATGCACGTTAGATGACTCCACCTAAGCGATCTACTAAATTAGGCAACCTTGCTTGAAAACAAGAGTAGTCTATTGTGAGGTGACTTTACCTAAAAGAATGTATTTGGGGAAACGTGAACCTTTTTTTCTTTTTTTATTTTATTTTAAACTTGAATGATCGTTTCACCTTTTTATTAGAGTCGACATTTCTAAAATATATTAATGAAGTTGATAATAATGGTTGGTTTCTTACCCGAGAGAAACATAAGCCCCTCACCTTATCGGTACTCAACTCCCTCATCGACACCTCATTACGAAAATCTGTACGGGATCATATCTCGCAAGCCTTATTAAAATTTCCTTGCCCCTTAGGCTTGGATCGCAATTCATTGTGGACTTGACTCTTTTTACTTTCCCTAACCAACCGAGGTAGGTTGGACTTTACTAGATTTTAAAGGTGATAACCCACCACATGTTGTGATTCATCCATGCAAGAGCATACCTAATTACTTTGATTGCTTATCAAACCTTGACTGAGTCATTATCCTCCCTTAGGATTGCTTTTTGCCCTCTAGCTTGATGGATTTGATTGCTTTGATTAATGCTAAAAAAATTACCATTAGGCTTTTGTTCCTCCGAGCTAGTATAGTGATACCGCCATCCGATCGGTTGTTGAACTCGATTAGAGTTGCTAGATCCTTGATCTTGCCCCCGAAGCATTCTTAATTTAATGGATTACCATTCAATCGGACCACGAGATGCTCTCAAATATTGATCAAATTCAAAAATTTATAGTTCTCTTAACATAATTATGGCTTGTGTTCAAATGCTTATCTTCGATGCTTGCATCACAATTTACAAATTAGTCTTCAAATTTTTGTCATCTTTTGAAAAACATCATTGAATAGATATTTGACTTTTATGGATCAAGCTAGTGTACTTGAATGATTCTGCGAAAACAATTCAAATTATTTGAACGAAATGTAGAGATGTTCGATGAAAGTACTTTCGTTCATAAAGATGTTTGATCAAAAGTTAAAACATGACATTTAAATGCTATGATGCAATTTTCTTAAGAATGTTGGGCTAAGCAAGCAAAAACGTGTTTAGGTTATGTAAGGTTTGTATAAAAGCTGGCATTTGATGCGTTTGAAGGTAATTGATCCATGATAAGTCCATTTCGAGTGAATGAAAGAGGTTTGAGCGAGAAAATATTTTTAAAAAATGATTTTGAAGGATAATTTTGTTTGAGAATATCATGATTTTGTTTATTTTTGCCTCCTAATTAGTTGATGAAGACTCGATGATTCAATGTCATGAAGAATGACAAACGACATATCGACTAATCATATTTTCTTATTTTTCTCCTTTTTTTTTAAGATTAGAATTCAACACCTAAGCAAACTATCTTTGATCGAAAGAGCTTGTACAAGCACGTAATGTAGGCTATGGCTTGGGCTTATGAAGAACTTGGATATAAAAGCTCAAAAGTGTTTTTAGGGTTTCATGACATAGGATCACTTTGTTATCCATGAAAATCTCTTTAGGCAATGCCGCCTAGACTCTATCACTTTAGTTGTTAGTTGGATTGCCTGACATCTTGATGTCCATGGATTTTTTTGGTTTGCCACGGAGATTTTGCCATTTTAACTATTGACTTTGTTTTCTAGACTCAACTCTCTTTTTCATTATGCATAAGGTAGAAACAAAAGTAAAACATTATAAAATTTTAATGACCAAAATAAAAAAACTTAACAAAATAAGAACCAAAACGAGAAAATGTTTTTTACTAAAAGCCAAAAAAAAAAACTTAGAGTAGTAAAAGCTGTATTTAACTTTAGTGTAGAATGAATAATAATCAAATCTAATAAAAATTTAATGATCAAAATAAAAGAAAGATCACAAAAAAAAAAAAAAATTTCAAAACATAACAAAAAGTTTTATTAAAAGTAAAAAAATAGTTTTTTGTAGGAGAAAAATCAAATATAATAAAAATTTAATGATCAGACTAAAAAACAATTACAATACAAGGACTAAAATAATTTTTTTAAACTAAATTTAATGGTTAAAATAAAGAATAAAATCACAAAACATGAATTATAATAGAAAGAAAGTTTCACTAAAAGCAAAAAAAAAAAAAAAAGGTTTAGGATAGTAAACTTTATTTAATTTTAGTATAGTAAGGATAAAAATCAAATATGATAAAAATTTAATGACTAAAATAAAAATATATCACAAAATAGGAATAAAAAAAGGATATAAATTTTTACTAAAATTCAAAAAGAAAATATTTATTTTAGAGATAAAAATTAAATATAATAAAATTTTAATATTTATTATAGTGATAAAAATGAAATATAATAAAATTTTAATGAATAAAATAAAAAAATTATAAAACAGATACCAAAATAAAAAGTAAAGTTTCCTGAAAGCTTGATTAAGCAACCTGTTAGAAAAAAAAAAACCGTGAATGAACTGAAAAAGTTCTACAGTATTTTTAGGTTTTGTTTTAGCTTTTTAAAGAATAATCAATGCAATGAGGATATTGATGATGATGTGATGATTACATCGCATTCATGACCGAATTCTACTTTTCCACATCTTTATGGGTCCCCAGCGTACGGAAAATTAAATTATGACCACATTTCTCGAAGAATCTTAGTACATAGATATATATATATATATATTTCCCTCGACCTCTTTCTATGTCTCACATAAGGTTCTCAATCCAATCATTTTAGACAAACTATGACAGAACAGGTATGTGCTTGGATGGATATGGAACTCATCATATATTTGTTTTAATTTATTTATTTTTCAATTCAGCCCATTTGGTTGTTCTACGGGTTTAATGATCCTTAAGTTCTTGTATGTATGTGCTATATATATATATATTATTGCTGCAGGTGACAAAAATGGTGATCAAGTTTGACCTTGAATGTGAGAAATGCCACAAGAAAATCAAGAAAGTACTGTGTAAAATCCCTGGTGAGTTTCTGATATTTTCTCCATAAAAAAACATTATAAGTTTGAGTTATTTTATTAGCAAAGGAAAGTGACTAACTTTTGATGATGTTTCTGAACGTGGAGAAATTCAAAGCCAAACGTATGACCAGAAGGCAAACACAGTGACAATAACTGTGGTGTCTTGCTTTCCTGAAAAGATCAAGAAAAAGATACGCTGCAAAGGAGGTGAAGCTATCAAATGCATTTATATTGAGAAGCAGCCAGAGGAATCCCCACCTCCTGAAACAACTCCACCGACAACCCCATCTACTGAACCGGTTACAGGGCACCCAGTGCGGATCTACCTAAAGGCATGTTGTGGTGAATGCTATCAAGGGTTTGATGGAGGTCCATGTTATCATGGCTGTGGTAGGCCAACACCCCAATGTTATGGAAGCTGGGGTGGTGGTAGTTGTAGCTGCCGAAGCAGGGGTTACTATGTGTGTAGATGTGAATATGTTTGTGAAAATGATCCCTGCACAATCATGTAAAGGGAAAGGGAAAGCTTGGAATAGCTAAGATTTAAGCCATTATCCAATATCAGAGATTAATTATACTAGATTCGAAGAACCATTAAGATTCCACTGGATTCAAATCCAATACTTGTCCTAATGGATCTTAGTATTATGTCAATGGTCAAAGGCATTGTAGCCGGCATGGATCATTATGCAACTAAAAATAATGGATTCCCTCTATTATATGCATCAAACTAACCCCACTTTTCTAGTTTTTGATGTATAGAAATCCCTTTGTCGGTCAATTATATCTGGTATTGATCAAAATCTGTTAATTGAATAATTTGATGATCTTGATCATACCACTTGTCACTCATCAATACAAAGTAAGGTTGCATTTTTTGTAGTATGCAAAAAAAAAAAAAAAAAAAAAAAAAAAAAAAAATTTCTTTAAAGAATTTTAATGTTCATATCAAAAAGAAAATAAAATGACTCAAGTAGTAAAATAAAGATGCAAAACCTCAGCTTTATAATTCTCAAGTAATCAACTCCTTCCATCCAAAATAAGAAATTTAATCAATTTTCAAATGTAACCCTAACCAAGAAACTCCTTCCATCCAAAATAAGAAATTATATTTGATAAAAAACATTTTCTATAACCATTTTTTGCGATGGTTTTTGAAAAAAAAGCGTCGCAAATCATGGAAATTAGCTACGGTTTTCAATTTTTTTAAAAAAATTTATTTCTTTCGACCTTTTTTGCGATGGTTTTTTTACAAAAAAAAGTCACAAAATTAGTAAATTTACGATGGTCTAAAAACCGTTGCTAATTAAGAGGGAAATGGTTATTTTTTGTACTTTTTCAGACATTTAGCGACGAGTGTAGCAATGGTTTTTAGACCGTCGCTAAAACTATCAACCCTTATATAACAATTTGCTCGAAAATTTACAAGAAAAACTTTCTACTCTCTCTTCTTCTTCTTCAATGCCGATCTCCCTTCCATTTCCATTAAATCTTCCCCCTCTCCTTTTTATTTTCCTTCCAATCTCCTCCTCTCTCCTCCTTCCCTTTCTCCCCTCTATCTTTCCCCTTTTCTTCCTCCTTTTTCTCTTTCTTTCTTCCTTTCTCCCCCTTTTCTCAACTGGCCATTTTCCGATCGAATAGTTTGACGAAGCCTCTCCACTTACGCGAGCCCACTCTCCTCCTTGTGTTGGTGAAAGGTCCTCCCTCATCTAACCCCTTAATTAATTTTTTAATTTTTTTCAATTATTTACTTAATTTAATTTTAAATTTTTTTGTTATTATTAATTATTAATTTAGTTAATTTATTGTTAATTGTTAAGAAATTTTAATTGTTATTAATTTTTATTAATTGTGAGAGTTTAATTGAATAATCGTTAATTTTATTGTTAAGAAAATTTAATTGTTATTAATTTTTGTTGTTAATTTAATTTTTATTGTTATTATTGTTATTGTTAATTGTTATTGTTAATTGTTAATTGTTAATTTTTAATTGTTAATTTAGTTAGTTTATTGTTAAATGTTATTTATTAATTTAGTTAGTTTAATTGATGGTATTTTGGAAAGTTAATTAGTTTAGAAAATTGTTAATAAGTTATTAGAAATATTTAAAATTTTTGGTAATTACAAAAATAATTAGTCATTAAAAAATTAATAATTTTTTAAATTATATTTAGTAATTAAAAAATCAATTAGTAATTAAGTTAATTTAGTTGTTGATTAAGTAAGGGAGTTAAGTAATTAAAAAATTAATTAATTTTGAAATTTAATTTAGTAATTAAAAAATCAATTATTAATTAAGTTTATTTAGTTGTTGATTAAGTAAAGGAGTTATGTAATTAAAAAATTAATTAATTTTGAAATTTTGTTTAGTAATTAAAAAATTAATTAGTAATTAAGTTTATTTAGTTATTGATTAAGTAAAAGCGTTAATTAATTATGAAATTAAGTAGTGATTAAAAAATTAATTTTTTGTAAATTATATTTAGTAATTAAAAAATTAATTAGTAATTAAGTTTAATAATAATAAACTTTCTACTTTTTTCAAGAATTTAATAATTGAATAATATTTATTACATTTTAATAAATTTTATAATAAAACTTATGAAATTTTAAAATATTATGTTTTGGGCATTTTATAGACTTTTAAATAGCAATTGGTTAATTTCAAATGAGGGTAAATAATAATAATAATAATAATATTTTAGTGACATAATTAGACCGTCGCTAATTTAGACAATTGCTAATTCCAAATATTAGCGACAGTTTAAAACCCTTGCTAAAATCGTCGCAAAAATGCAACGGTTTTTTCTAATTTTGTGACAATTTTTCTGTCGCTACTTTAGCGATGGTCCTAAAACCATCGTAAAATTTTAGCGATTGAAATTTTATCGATGATTTTTGTACCATCGTAAAACTGTCGCTAATTAAAATTAGCAACGGATTTTGCCGAATTAGCGAAGGTCTAGACCGTCACTAATTCTATTTTTTTTTATAGTGTTTCCTAATCTTGTCTTGGCATGTGAGATTATCAATACTTAGAAAGATAAAGCAAGGCTATGGTAAGCTCGATCAACTACTTGCCCATCTTCTTGAACTTATATATTCCATTTTTGTATGTTCTCAAAAAAAGGATAAAGCAAGCTGCCTAGAAGACAATGTTGCCATTATTTATCTTGTTTGATCATATATATATATATATATTAAAAAAATTCATTCCTGGAAAAATGAAATCCAAGTCAGATGTTGCTCTACGGAGTCGTGCTACATAGTCATGGTCATTACTTGTATCCTTCTACAAAAGATCTTAAAAGGGTGGAAATTTGTTTCGTACGCAGCCAGATTAGCACTTTGACATGAATACCAAGCGAAACCCGAATGGATACGGCACATGGTCCAACTACATAACTTTTCTGTTGGGTCCTCTACACATTATTTGATGATGGAATGAAAAAGAAAAATGGTGGCTGCCATAGAAATATAATGAAATGACAAAAACAATAGAAAAATTGAAGGGGTTAGGGCCATGTTCATTGACGTACACACTAGTAGTTTTAAAAAGAAATTAATATATATTTTTTTAACTAAATAGATCGATTGTACATCATTAATTGTCTAAAACCTCATCCTAGATAGATCCATTGCGCATTATTAATCGTCTAAAACCTAATCCTATTCTACGGTGGCCACCAGTACCGTACCACCCAAGGACATGCTGTAGTGGATGCTATCATGGCTATAGTAGGCCAACACCCCAATGTTATGTTCCTTTTGGAAGGCCAGTGGATGGTAGCTGGGGTTACTGTGTGTGTGGATGTGAATATGTTGGTGAAAATAATCGCTCATCATGCACAATCATGTGAAGGGAAAGTTTAGAATACCTAAGATTTAAGCCAATAACATCCCATATCAAAAACTATACTATGTTCAAAGAGTACTATTAGGGTTCCTTCGAATTCAACTATTCCAGTAGTCCTGATGGACCTTATAAGTAATATTCTGTAGATGATCAAAGCATGGGCATTGTAGCACGGATCATCATGAGGCAAAAAATCAATGAATGTCCCTATACTATATGCATATGGCAAATTAATTATTCTGTAGTAAATTTGATCTACTCAGCCTCTATCCTTTTAGAATGTAGTCTATAGATAATTTTTTTTTATTTGACTAAAATTAAGATTTAATACTTATTGTCTACGAATAATTAATTATAATTATTTTTTAATAATACTTAACATTGATTGATTTAGCTCAAGAGACAGCTGATCAATAGTATGTCTATCAAAGATCAAATGTATTTTGATATTGACTTAATTTCATAAGTGATAAACTTAATTTTAATCGATGCAAAACTGGCTTAAAAATATTTTATTATCAATTAGTATGGATAAAAACCCTTTATATTTCTATTTTAGTATACATAAATTCTTCTGTCAATCAATTATGTTAGACTGATCAAAATTCATTGGCAGAACGTTTCATGATCTTGATCATACCATGTATTACTCATCAATGCACAGTAATGTGGCTTTTTTTTTCCTCCTCCTTTTTCTTTTTTTTTTTTTTTTTTTTTTTGAAGTATGATATCCAAAGAAAAAAAGTCTTTAAGATTAAGTTATGAAAAAAAAAAAAAAAGGCAAAGCTTTCCATTTTCCATTAATCATTGCTATTTCTACGGTGACAATGCATCTCCTTTTCTTTTGCTTTCTTTAATGTTTATTGTAACTGATCCCATTCGTTTTGTATTCTTACCTAATCATACTTTGCTAGCAAAATGGTGCAAGCTACGTCGTAGCTTGGTCCAAACTAGATAATGGAATAAACGTTAAATAAATTTTTTTTGTTTTTTTTCAAAAAATGTTCTAACATGGGGAAAAGGGACACGTCCTAAGTTTTCGGCCTTTTCTTTAAACTCAGTGGAGCCAGCCAACCTAGACTGAAAATTGAATAATTAATTGAACTTGTAGACTTGCTTCAGCTTCCACAACTTTTGACTCATAGTCAACTTCTGGAGCCCACAATTTTTTGTTTTTGTTTTTTTTGCTTTACTCCTTTCTGTCCACACATAGCAGTAGGCAAATAGCCATTACCCTGACCTATTGGAGATCAATCATGGTTGAAGTCATCGAATTAAATTACGATGGTTGCATCAAATTCCACATGCCCTCAATCTTACAGGTCTCAAAATGTAGGGACGATTAAACTACAATCTCATATTTCTCCCACTTAAGCAGTAACCATCCCCGTGTCCAGACACCCGCCTGAGGATAATGGTTTAGAAATTAGGTGCATGGTTTGCCAATTTATATACCATACAGTAATGGATTGCTTAAATATCAGTTCAATATAAGCCATAAGTATTAAAAAACGAATCAAGTAAGGAATAAAATAGAAAGACAAAAACAATCCTACAATATAAAAATTTACGTGGTCTAGCAATTGTGTATGCTCTATTGTTGCACTAGAATTTTTTATTAGGTTTTATCAAGTGACGACTATAAATATAGGTGATATTTCCTCTATTTAGAGTGTAGACAACTAGAATTATAAGAAAAAAGTCTAACGAGCCTATACACCTAACCCAATAGTTTGTAAAGTTTTCGAGAGCTCCCACAAGGGATGCTGCCCCAATATTTTGTAGTGCCTTATACTATGAGGTCTTATCCACACCAATCTCCATAACTTAACAATAAGGTCATAACGAATGATCTAACCCAATACAAGAATACAAATCATAAGTTCATAACGAATGATTTGACCCGAAGCACAAGGCATACAAAAAATCCTCCATACTCGAACAACCATGATTGGATGACTTCATAGGCGTTATGTCTAATCGGGCAAGACCATAAGGCTCGAGAAAAACACATCTCCTCACACATTAGAAGAAACCTCAACAATGAAGATTACGATTAAACCCTAGACGGTCCCATCGGAGGGACATGTCTATGTTAATGATAAATTCTCTTACCAATAAATGGTTAGAGACAACCACAAGAGTTACTGCTTCTCTAATCATTTGATAAAATAACACAATCACGGTATATTTTTCTCCATATATATAGAAAATAACTCACCACAAGTCTACTCAAGCAAGTATACAATAAAGATATACTACTAAGTCTAAAAGGTTAAAATAGTCTCTGTCTACATACTAACTTAGTCACTAGAAGGTCTTCCGGAGTCTAAACGAAATATTTTGTTTTGCAAGTATTAACTCCAGGACTCCAAGACAAAGATAGGTCACCATTGCATGATCAACCAAGAAAAAGGTTAATCCGACCATTCATACAATTAAGGATCTATAACTTCATCACCAATGATATCTTGTTCGACAATGAAGAGTGTACATATTTTAAATATTTTAGGCACATCCTCTTCAAGCTCCTTATTTATTAGGGTGCAAATCACTCGAATGTATGGATGAATGGCTTGAATAATTTGTGGATGCAATGATTGATTAAAGATTAGTTATGTTTAAAAAACAAAATGTAGAACTAATTGTTCAAGAATGACAATGCACTATAAAAAAAAAGACTAAATAGCGATGGATATTTTCGTTGCCATACCCAAAATTTTTGTCGCTATATAGCTCAATTACGATTTGGTTCCGTCACTAAAATTCTTTTCGCTAATCTACCATAGGATAGGATAGATACAATACGACCTTTCTATTGATTTTTTTTTCACAGTAAGAGATTACTCGAATAATTTTCATGTCAAAAGAAATTAAGTTTTTTTTAAAAAATAGTTTTTAAAGCATTTTTTTTACACATCGATCTAGTAAATTCAAGAACAAAATTTATAAAATATGAATACTAGAATTCAAAAAAAAAAAAAAAAAACTAACCTTCTTCACTACTAATTAAATCTATTTGTTAAGGTTATCATTTGAATTGATTAACAAAATAGAAGGTGATATGATTGAGTTCGTTAAAACCATCAAATGCATATTAAACATGGGAGGATGATGGTGGCATGAAATCCCACGTGCCTTCATCTTATTGGTCTCAAAATTTAGGGACAATTAAATTATATACTCGTCTCCCATTTGCCCTATCATACCCTAAAATGTTACCCTTTTTTTCTTTTTCTTTTTTTTTTTAGTTATTTTAGTTCCTTTTCATTATTTAGTTCATGTTTGTTTAATCAAAATAAAACGAAAAACAAAAAAGTAAAAAAAATTTCTTTCATTTACTTAGAATTCAATAAAAAAAATTACAAAAAAAATGGAAAAATATAAAAAAGAAAACGAGAGATGGAGGGACAAATTCCCCCATCCTTTGTGCAATTTTTGCTCCCGTAATTGGCCACCACTCTAAGCCCTAAAGCTGCCGACTTCCATTGCATTGTCTGTTCAATCTTCTCCATAATCTATCAGCCAAGTAGCAACAACTCACAATCCTACCCTTGCCACATTGAAGTACCTATTAGACAATTTCGGTCTCCCTCACCATGCTTCATGTTTTGCCACTCTTCACCTTTTTATCCAAGCAACTCTTGCCACACCTAAATTATCTTTTGGACAATTCATTCCTCCCCAACTTATCCTACAATTACTACCCACATACGACCATCCTACGACTGCAAAATCCAACAGTTCCTCTCCCCTAAGTCATCAATTCTAGCCTCCTTTACTGACCCATAATCTCCTTCACCTATAGCCTTCCCCTACTACATTATCTCCTCGGTAGCCCATAATCAACTCTCCCCAAGTCAACAATCCTAGCCTCCCTTACAGTCGACAATCTCTACCGACGGCCTCCCTTATAGCCACCTTACTATTGCAACTCCCGTAACACCTCTTGCACAGCCTACCTTACACATCCCATAACCATAGTCCCATCGACCCTCACTCCATATCCTATAATAAAATCTCACACCAACATTGTGGAGAACCCGACAAGCATTCATAGACAATATATATAAACAACAAGAAACATAAACAAAAAAGAGAGGAGAGAGTCCAAAATATAGAGAGGAGAGTTAGTCTAAAAATTAAAGAAAAAGAATTAAAAAGGAGAGAAATTAAATTTATCCGAATTGAAGTTGCAATCCGCATCTTTTTCCACCAATCCTTCTAGGCAATTCCATCTAATTTCTCTTTAATTTTGGTTTTGAAAGAATTTAGGTTTGTGTTTGAAATTTGGGGTTTTTTTTTTAATTTGTGTTGAAATTGAGTTTAGGAAGTATAAATTAAATCTAATTGAAGCCAATTACGGTTTCAATTTGAGGTTTAAACCCCAAATTGAAGCTGAATTGATTTCAATTTAAACTTAGGGTTCCCGAAATTTTTTTCGATGATGTGACTAAAATTATGTAACATACTTAGAAATTGCAGTTTCAATTTCAGGTTTTCCTTTTGCTTTTCCTTAAGCTCGTGGTTGATGCTCTATGTCGGTTAAGCTTCAAGTCGACTGCTTCTAATCTTATTATCCAAAGTCTGGATTTTATTATTCGAAAATCCTTATCAAACAGAGCCTAACTATCTTTCTAGTATTTTTTTCTTCAATAAGAGGCGAAGCCAATGGATTTTATTCAATATTTTTATGTGGAGAGACTTTTGTATTTTGTTGGCAAAACGGCAAAACAATGTGAGAGACTTTTGGTGTTTTGATTAAAAAAGGTCAAAACAATGTGGGCTCAATTATCTTTGTTTATTTTGTCATGTTTTAATTTTAATGGGTATTTTGGGTATTTAATGTAAAATATATAAAATTATTATTTAAAAAGCATTGAAGGAGGGTATGTTAGTGAAATGTCTAGAAAACAAATGGTAGGAATAACAATTAATATGGTGAATTTAGCAGTACCCACTTTCAAATTAATTATTCTACTATAAATTTAGTCACCTCAACCCTTCTAATTCTGATTTTGATGTGCATAAAAGCCAAGAAAAAAATATTTATTATAGAGATAAAAATTAAATATAATAAAATTTTAATATTTATTATAGGAATAAAAATTAAATATAATAAAATTTTAATAAATAAAATAAAAAAAATTATAAAACAGGACCAAAATAAAAAGTAAAGTTTCCTAAAAGCTTGATTAAGCAACCGGTTAAAAAAAAAAACCGTGAATGAACTGAAAAAGTTCTACAGTATTTTTAGGTTTTGTTTTAGCTTTTTAAAGAATAATCAATCCAACGAGGATATTGATGATGATGTGATGATTACATCACATTCATGACCGAATTCTACTTTTCCACATCTTTATGGGTCCCTAATGTACGGAAAATTAAATTATGATCACATTTCTCGAACAATATATATATATATATATATATATATATATATATATATATATATATATATATATATATATATATGCATATGTATTTCCCTCGACCTCTTTGTATGTCTCACATAAGGTTCTCAATCCAATCATTTTAGACAAACTATGGCAGAACAGGTATGTGCTTGGATGGATATGGAACTCATCATATATTTGTTTTAATTTATTTATTTTTCAATTCAGCCCGTTTGGTTGTTCTACGGGTTTAATGATCCTTAAGTTCTTGTATGTATGTGCTATATATATTATTGCTGCAGGTCACAACAATGCTGATCAAGGTTGACCTTGAATGTGAGAAATGCCAAAAGAAAATCAAGAAAGTACTGTGTAAAATCCCTGGTGAGTTTCTGATATTTTCTCCATAAAAAAACATTATAAGTTTGAGTTATTTTATTAACAAAGGAAAGTGACTAAGTTTTGGTGATGTTTCTGAACGTGGAGAAATTCAAAGCCAAACGTATGACCAGAAGGCAAACACAGTGACAATAACTGTGGTGTCTTGCTTTCCTGAAAAGATCATGAAAAAGATACGCTGCAAAGGAGGTGAAGCTGTCAAATGCATTCAAATCAAGGTACCAGAGAAGCCGCCGGTTCCAACCGCAGATAAAAAACATACACCTGGAAAACCAGACAAAACCCCATCTCCTGAACCGGTTACAGGGCACCCAGCACGGATCTACCTAAAGGCATGTTGTAGTGAATGCTATCAAGGGTTTGGTGGAGGTCCATGTTATCATGGCCATGGTAGGCCAACACCCCAATGTTATGGAAGGCCAGTGTATGGTAGCTGGGGTGGTGGTAGTTGTAGCTGCCGAAGTAGGGGTTACTATGTGTGTAGATGTGAATATGTTTGTGAAAATGATCCCTGCACAATCATGTAAAAGGAAAGGGAAAGCTTGGAATAGCTAAGATTTAAGCCATTATCCAATATCAGAGATTAATTATACTAGATTCGAAGAACCATTAGGATTCCACTGGATTCAAATCCACTACTTGTCCTAATGGATCTTAGTATTATGTCAATGGTCAAAGGCATTGTAGCCGGCATGGATCATTATGCAACTAAAATAATGGATTCCCTCTATTATATGCATCAAACTAACCCCACTTTTCTAGTTTTTGATGTACAGAAATCCCTTTGTCGGTCAATTATATCTGGTATTGATCAAAATCTGTTAATTGAATAATTTAATGATCTTTATCATACCACGTGTCACTCATCACTGCAAAGTAAGGTTGCATTGTTCGTAGTATGAAGAAAAAAAAAAACCAATAAAATCTTTAAAGAATTTTAATGTTCATATCAAAAAGAAAATAAAATGACTCAAGTAGTAAAATAAAGATGCAAAACCTCAGCTTTATAACTCTCAAGTAATCAACTCCTTCCATCCAAAATAAGAAATTTAATCAATTTTCAAATGTAAACCTAACCAATAAACTCTTCTCACTCACTCAAATCTCCAAATCAATCACTAAAAATGGACAAGACGGGTTTCGATTTCTTAAATATATAACAATTTGGGGACTGTGGGTCAAACGTTTCCTAAACTTTCTTAGGATTTGAAGAAGGTTGAATAATAGCCATCAATGTGAAAAAAAAATATAGAAAGTTTCATAGATTTTTTTTTTTTTTATCATTTAGAGTAAATAAATTCTAAATCTAAATCTAATGCCATATATTTTTTTCTTATTTTTTATATTTAAATATTTTTATAATTTGAAAATATTATATTTATTAAAAATAATATTAATATTAATTTCAAATCAAATTCTTATTGGACCAAATCCAGATAGATCTATATGAATACGTAATAAATGAATTAAAATATTCATATCATAATTGAACTTGAATCGTGTAAATTATATACTAAATCTATTTACTTACATTGAATTCAGATTCGAGTATGGTCAAGATCTGATTCGTTGACAGTCTTACAAAAAATGAGTGGTTCAAAACAATCAACCTCAAGTGCAAAAGGCATATGAAACAATAGGAAATAACTCATTGCAAAAAAGTGGACGTACTTCGTGCCTTTGCTCTATAATGATAGAGGTCAAAGAGATTAAAAACAACCACTTTTAGAACTATAGATTCCAAAAGTTGCAGATAAGGTAAAGATGAATGGAAACGAGAAATGCTACAATGCTTTGGTGGTCTCAATCAGCCCTTATCACTATCTATTTCATCATAACAAGCTAAGTGAGGAGGAAACTTTGAAGGTTCCTATTACTTGCAATTTCATCCTATAAAGAGGAAAAAACATAAAGGTCTTGTACAACAAAGTGGAAAGCCTTGCCCAAAATACAATAGATTTTTACAATGAAAGCCACATAGAAGGCTTTAATGACAAACAATTTGCCCATATGATGTTTCTTGATGGCTGTTTTACTCTCCAATTCATTAATTATATGATGAGCAATTACGAAATTTAGAGATGAGTGATTATCAAGTTATTGATGTAAAACTTGATTTGTTATTATTGAAAAACAAGCTTCCTTTCCATATCTGTAGCCATTCATGAGGTTGAGGTATGAAAAGGATCATGGAATGAAATTTATATGTAATTTTTTTATTTTTCAAATTCTCCTACCAAAAGATCAACCGTTGTGGGGTTGGAGATTACTTTGGCTTGGAATGTGGCTCATGTTAGTGTTACTTCTTCTATTATTTACACTTCCATCTTATATAATTTTAAAATCTTTGAATTACCAATTGCGATCTTGAACACACCGATAAAGCAATTCTCTTCCATCGGGCTTGAAAATAATTGCCAAAATATTATCTTTCACTACAAAAAAACAAAGGATTTGCGAGGAAAAATTAGCGACGGTCTCAAAATCGTCGCTAATTTACTAAAATTGCGACGTTACGAAGCACTTTAGCAAGAGAAATTAGCGACGATTTTTTACAAAAAAACCGTCGCTAATTCCAATTTTTTTAAAAAAATTTTCCGCAACCATTTTTTGGGACGAGCTTTTGTAAAAAACCCATTGCTAATCATGGAAATTAGCGATAGTTTTTTGCGACGATTTTTTCCAAAAAAATCAGTCGCTAATTTCTTTTTTTAAAAACATTTTCCGTAACCATTTTTTGCGACAATTTTTGTAAAAAAAGCGTCGCAAATCATGGAAATTAGCTACGATTTTCAATTTTTTTTTAAAAAAATTATTTCTTTCAGCCTTTTTTGCGATGGTTTTTTACAAAAAAAAAAAAAGTCACAAAATTAGTAAATTAGCAATGGTCTAAAAACCGTAGCTAAACCGTCGCTAGTTAAGAGGGAAATGACTATTTTTTATACTTTTTCGGACATTTAGAGACGAGTTTAGCGACGGTTTTTAGACCGTCGCTAAAACTATCAACCCTTATATAACAATTTGTCCGAAAATTTGCAAGAAAAACTTTCTACTCTCTCTTCTTCTTCTTCAGTGCCGATCTCCCTTCCATTTCCATTAAATCTTCCCCCTCTCCTTTTTATTTTCCTTCCAATCTCCTCCTTTCTCCTCCTTCCCTTTCTCCCTTCTATCTCTCCCCTTTTCTTCCTCTTTTTCTCTTTCTTTCTTCCTTTCTCCCCCTTCCTTAACATGCCATTTTTTGATCGAATAGTCCGACGAAGCCTCTCCACCTGCATGACCCACTCTCCTCCTTGTGTTGGTGAAAGGTCCTCCCTCATCAAACCCCTTAATTAATTTTTAAAATTTTTTCAATTATTTACTTAATTTAATTTTAAAATTTTTTGTTATTCTTAATTGTTAATTTAGTTAATTTATTGTTAATTGTTAAGAAATTTTAATTGTTATTAATTTTTATTAATTGTGAGAGTTTAATTGAATAATCGTTAATTTTATTGTTAAGAAAATTTAATTGTTATTAATTTTTGTTGTTAATTTAATTGTTATTGTTATTATTTTAATTGTTAATTGTTATTGTTAATCGCTAATTTTTAATTGTTAATTTAGTTAGTTTATTGTTAAATGTTATTTATTAATTTAGTTAGTTTAATTGATGGTATTTTGGAAAGTTAATTATTTTAGAAAATTGTTAATAAGTTATTAGAAATATTTAAAATTTTTGGTAATTACAAAAATAATTAGTCATTAAAAAATTAATAATTTTTTAAATTATATTTAGTAATTAAAAAATCAATTAGTAATTAAGTTAATTTAGTTGTTGATTAAGTAAGGGAGTTAAGTAATTAAAAAATTAATTAATTTTAAAATTTAATTTAGTAATTAAAAAATAAATTATTAATTAAGTTTATTTAGTTGTTGATTAAGTAAAGGAGTTATGTAATTAAAAAATTAATTAATTTTGAAATTTTGTTTAGTAATTAAAAAATTAATTAGTAATTAAGTTTATTTAGTTGTTGATTAAGTAAAGGCTTTAATTAATTACGAAGTTAAGTAGTGATTAAAAAATTAATTTTTTTGTAAATTATATTTAGTAATTAAAAAATTTATTAATAATTAAGTTTAATAATAATAAACTTTCTACTTTTTTCAAGAATTTAATAATTGAATAATATTTATTACATTTTAATAAATTTTATAATAAAACTTATGAAATTTTAAAATATTATGTTTTGGGTATTTTATAGACTTTTAAATAGCAATTGGTTAATTTCAAATGAGGGTAAATAATAATAATATTTTAGCTACGGAATTAGCGACGGTCTAGACTGTCGCTAATTTCAAATATTAGCGACAGTCTAAAACTCTCGTTAAAACCGTCGCAAAAATGCAACGGTTTTTTCTAATTTTGTGACGGTTTTTTCTATCACTACTTCAGCGACGGTACTAAAATCGTCGTAAAATTTTAGCAACTGAAATTTTACCGATGGTTTTTGGACCATCGCAAAACCGTCGCTAATTAAAATTAGCGTCGCATTTTGCCGAATTAGCAACCGTCTAGACCGTCACTAATTTTTTTTTTTTTTTTTTGTAGTGTTTCCTAATCTTGTCTTGGCATGTGAGATTATCAATACTTAGAAAGATAAAGCAAGGCTATGGTAAGCTCGATCAACTACTTGCCCATCTTCTTGAACTTATATATTCCATTTTTGTATGTTCTCAAAAAGGATAAAGCAAGCTGCCTGGAAGACAATGTTGCCATTACTTATCTTGTTTGATCATATATATATATATATATATATATATATATATTAAAAAATTCATTCCTGGAAAAATGAAATCCAAGTCAGATGTTGCTCCACGGAGTCGTGCTACATAGTCATGGTCATTACTTGTATCCTTCTACAAAAGATCTTAAAAGGGTGGGAATTTGTTTCATACGTAGCCAGATTAGCACTTTAACATGAATACCAAGCGAAACCCGAACGGATACAGCACATGGTCCAACTACATAACTTTTTCTGTTTGGTCCTCTACACATTATTTGATGATGGAATGAAAAAGAAAAATGGTGGCTACCATAGAAATATAATGAAATGACAAAAACAATAGAAAAATTGAAGGGGTTAGGGCCATGTTCATTGACGTGCACACTAATAGCTTTAAAAAAAATTAATATTTTTTTTTAACTAGATAGATCCATTACACATCATTAATTGTCTAAAACCTAATACTAAATAGATCCTTTACACATCATTAATTGTCTAAACCTAATCCTATTCTAGGGCGGCTACCAGTGCCGTACCACCCAAGGACATGCTGTAGTGAATGCTATCATGGCTATAGTAGGCCAACACCCCAATGTTATGTTCCTTTTGGAAGGCCAGTGGATGGTAGCTGGGGTTACTATGTGTGTAGATGTGAATATGTTGGTGAAAATAATCGCTCATCATGCACGATCATGTGAAGGGAAAGTTTAGAATACCTAAGATTTAAGCCAATAACATCCCATATCAAAAACTATACTATGTTC